CACGTGCTATAAATGGTCGCGTGAGATCCATTGGTCCCGTAGATTCCATTCAATGCTGTAATGGCCACGTGCTATAAATGGTCGCGTGAGATCCATTGGTCCCGTAGATTCCATTCAATGCTGTAATGGTCACGTGCTATAAATGGTCGCGTGAGATCCATTGGTCCCGTAGATTCCATTCAATGCTGTAATGGCCACGTGCTATAAATGGTCGCGTGAGATCCATTGGTCCCGTAGATTCCATTCAATGCTGTAATGGCCACGTGCTATAAATGGTCGCGTGAGATCCATTGGTCCCGTAGATTCCATTCAATGCTGTAATGGTCACGTGCTATAAATGGTCGCGTGAGATCCATTGGTCCCGTAGATTCCATTCAGTGCTGTAACCTAATTCGCTGTTGTATGTGACTAGTCAAGAGATTCTGAAGGAAGCACGCGTTTAAGCGTTCAAGAGATTTGATTGGTGGATTTTAATTTTGTTTTTATTCAATCCTGTATATTAACTTCGATTTTGTTCGTAGCTGACTGGCTGCAGGGCCGGTACTATGGTAGCTGGCTCCCCGAGCAAGCTTAAATTTGGCGCCCTGGGCAAACTTAAATTTAGCGCCTTTTTTAATTACAATCATAAAAAATATGTGCAGTGAAAAAACTGGATTAGGTCATGAGGTTTATACCTAGATTTTTGTTGAAACAAACAATGAACAATAATAGTGTTTTTCTTAATTTGTATTTGGTCAGTATGGACAATTAGCCTACCATAGGCAGTATGAATAATTAGCCTACCATAGGCAGTATGAATAATTAGCCTACCATAGGCAGTATGAACAATTAGCCTACCATAGGCAGTATGAATAATTAGCCTACCATAGGCAGTATGAACAATTAGCCTACCATAGGCAGTATGAACACTTAGCCTACCATAGGCAGTATGAACACTTAGCCTACCATAGGCAGTATGAACACTTAGCCTACCATAGGCAGTATGAACACTTAGCCTACCATAGGCAGTATGAACACTTAGCCTACCAAAAGCAGCATGAACACTTAGCCTACCATAGGCAGCATGAACAATTAGCCTACCATAGGCAGTATGAACAATTAGCCTACCATAGGCAGTATGAACAATTAGCCTACCATAGGCAGTATGAACAATTAGCCTACCATAGGCAGTATGAACAATTAGCCGACCATAGGCAGTATGAACACTTAGCCGACCATAGGCAGTATGAACAATTAGCCGACCATAGGCAGTATGAACAATTAGCCGACCATAGGCAGTATGAACACTTAGCCTACCATAGGCAGTATGAACACTTAGCCTACCATAGGCAGTATGAACACTTAGCCTACCATAGGCAGTATGAACACTTAGCCTACCATAGGCAGTATGAACAATTAGCCTACCATAGGCAGTATGAACACTTAGCCTACCATAGGCAGCATGAACAAATAGCCTACCATAGGCAGTATGAACACTTAGCCTACCATAGGCAGTATGAACACTTAGCCTACCATAGGCAGTATGAACACTTAGCCGACCATAGGCAGTATGAACACTTAGCCGACCATAGGCAGTATGAACACTTAGCCTACCATAGGCAGTATGAACACTTAGCCTACCATACTTTTGCCGTATTTTTCTTCCATGGCGCCCACATGCAATGATTTTTACTATTTTGGAAGATCGTTGATGGCGCCCTAGGCACATGGCGCCCCGGGTAACTGCCCGAGTTTCCGGCTCATTGATCCGGCCCTGGATGGCTGGGTGGCGGCCATGGTGGTCGGTATAAGGGCCCCTGGCTGGCTATGTTCCCTTAAAGCTGCGCGGCAATCTCACAGATTTCCATTTAAGTTTATGTTTGTGTTTGTGGGCTGTAAAATTTCGCACAAAAAAGAAAAATTGATGCTGTAAAACTTTGCACACAACTGTATGATTTTGCACACAACTGTATGATTTTGCACACAACTGTATGATTTTGCACACAACTGTATGATTTTGCACACAACTGTATGATTTTGCACACAACTGTATGATTTACGTGTGTTGACATACTAAAACGTGTGTTGACATACTAAAACGTGACAACTGTATGATTTTGCACACAACTGTATGATTTTGCACACAACTGTATGATTTTGCACACAACTGTATGATTTTGCACACAACTGTATGATTTTGCACACAACTGTATGATTTTGCACACGAACCAGCAAACTTTAGAGG